CTTTTTCTTCACAGATTTGGTTGACAGCTGAATCGGACAAACCCTTGGTTCTAGTAAAGCCACTTAAAGCAAATGTCGTTGTTTCTCCTGTTACTCGACCTTCCGCATCGACTTGAGCGATAGATATTTGGACGGAAGCATGGTCCTTTGCCGTGATTATGCGGTTGGAAGCAGCACTATAATAGATATAGTAACATAAAAATACAAGTACAACTGTATTCTTACCATTTTCTAGGAACATAAAGGTCTACAATTTTCTTTTGTACGTTTTGCATATCTTGAACCGAATCGACGACGACAAAACTATAATTTCCCAAATAAGATGAAATGCCGATGAAGCAGACTTATGGTTTATTAGAAGAAGGGGGTCTCTTTTTAGGGTCAAGAAAACGTTTAGATCTATTGGCTTCTCTTTTCTAATAAATATATTTCTTGTTAGTAATTTGTATATAACCACACTCTTCATATACTTGCTGTTCTTGCACTAGAAGCAGAAGGTAGTTGGGCTTCGTCTCTAATAACATCTCCCAAGCTTCTTTGTAGTAACCCCACTCCTATAAGAATAGCACCGGTCGCACCTACCAATATCCAATCACCTACATAACCCTAAGAAAATACTTTCAAAGCATTTAACGTGACTAACCAGTAGAAAGACTCAACAAGGGATGATGAGAATAGGGAGCCCAGTTCATCATGGAGATCATCAAAGATCAATAATTCTTTAACGCGAGCTCTTTATTTCCCAACTCATGGATGAAACAGAAAATCAGAATCTTGTAGTTTTCCGAATGATTCATCTTTGGCTCTTGTATCTGCAGGAATAGTAACTGAAGCAGCAGTAGTACAGTGTTTCAATTTGCATCTAATATGCATGTTAGAATGCCTTTTTCTCATGATTATCTCCCTTACCCTTCCAAAATATGACAATTGCTGGAAATGATACAATTTTGTAAGTGACAATCATCTCCAATGATAACATGATCCATTACAATACAACCATTCAGCTTGACTCGTTGTCCCATATGACAATGATCCCCAATCACGCAATCTTTCAGTTCTGACTGTTCACCACATGATAACTCTTGGCCCACAATCAAACGTTGGTTATTCTTTCTCTTATTGGAAGATGCTTTATCTTCTCCTCTATATAAACCCCAATATCTATTACTCTTTCCATATTTCTACAATGTTCTTTCTTTACATACCCTTTTGATTCTTCTCCCATGGAACAACTAGCTATCCATCCCTTTAAACAAGCATCATTAACTTGTCTATACCATTCCAAAGTATGCATTCTCCTCGCAAATACTTTTCTAGGCAAAATCATGGCATAACAACGAACAATATCTGGAAATGATGTCCAATGAATAGCCTTTTCCCATCGATATTCAGCAACGAGTGGAATGTCTAAAGAATCTAAATTTCTCTCTTGAGATACTTTAAACATAAGAATAAACAAGACTTTACCTTTTTCATGATTCCATTTATACTTTCCAACTAGTTTTTGCCATGAACGGCATCTTTTCGATAAATGATATTGTCTCCGAACCAAGAATGGAACCAATTCTGCTTTAATACTCGATATAGCCACATTTCTTCTCAGCAACTCCAACACCCAATGGGAAAATACATACAAATGACAATCTCTTAGATTCCGTTTCAAAAATAGTCGAGGATTGTATTTCAAAATATGAGAAGAAATGGAAATTTGATTTTCAACATCGGCTGAGGACTCCAACATAAAGATACGATGATGAACAGGAGACATCAAAGCCACATCTTCCAATGCTGAACTATAATTATCTTTCGGTGCGTCCTTTGTTTGTTTCGAAGATATATCTTCGTACAAGACTACCGTTAAAGAGGCGTCGCGCGTTCTATGCTGTTCTAACAATCCAATGAGGTCCCACTCTACAATAAAATCCGCAGAAAGTACCACAAAATCTGAAAAAATGGAGTTGGCCATTTCCCTTAGTGCATCAGCCGTACCGATTCCTTCCGTAACAGTTTGTATATGGATAGTCATAGAAGGAGCACTTGTTCTTCTGTTTTGCACAAGTTTATCGGAAGGATATTGTTCATAAACATAATTACTGATGGCTGCCAGTTGACTAGGAACAGTAACCACCATAGCTTGAGTAAATCCTAACGCACTCTATGATCATATGGGTAGTAAGCGCTTCCAACTTACCAGAACGCTCCAACATATAGAGAGAATAGAATAAAGCAGGTTTATTTCCGACAGGTAATAAAGCTTTTATCAAGTCATCAGTTATTGGATGCAATCTGCTTCCTGTTCCACCAGCAAAAAGAATAGGATAAAAGTCTAAACAATGAGCTGCTGCCATCGAAACGACCGAGGAATGCAAAATTGATTCACTTATGCACCAGTCTTCAAGCAATCATCATTCCATGGTTACTTCCGGTATGGCTACTAGAACCAAGGAAGAAATCATAATAGAAAAAGCAATGGAGTCTTGTCTGTTCAAATCTATGATGAGTGGAGTGGCAGGTGGTTTGTTTGGTTCTCTTATGGGACTAGTATTTGGTGGTTATTCAGGTGCAGTAGATACGGCTGTCGAAACTCAAGGAACTGCCAAGCAGAAATTGTTGGCTGGTGGTAGAGTTGCCAAAAATGCGTGCGTAAGACAAGCAAAGACTTTTGCTTTATGGGGAACAGTTTATTCTGGTACAGAATGTGCTATTGAAAAATATCGTGCAAAGCATGATTTATGGAATAGTTTGGTTGCTGGATGTATTACTGGAGGAGTATTAACTTCACAACCTAAAATACCGATGGGAGCTAAGGCTAGAGCCACACAGATGAGTGTAGGTTGTGGTGGAGTGGCTATGTTTTCTTTGGCTTTAGATTATTTTTTGGAACATCGAGAGTGAATGGATATTCACAACGATGGGATACTGAATAGAATTGAAAGTGAATATTTAAAACAATGTATGGTCGTATTCCCAAAGTCTTCAAGTTACTTATCTGCCGTCGTTGAGAAGGACTCTGTGAAATCAATTTTGGTTTGGAATAGGATGATCATATTCAATAGGAAGTGATCAAAATAACAATAGGATAAGATAGTTTCATAAGGTTTTTTTTCCATGAAAGATATTGATATCAGTTGAACAATGAATAGAAACACAAGTTGAAAGTTCATTGAAAGAATTTTATACAAGTGCAAGTTGATGCTTTAAACTCTTCAAGATTTGTTTGGAATGTGTGTGATTCAAGTCATATCCAATGCATCGACTGGATAGATTTCAATTTGTTGTTGTTTGAAAACTCCATTTCCTAATTGATATATGCATTGTTTTATTTCACAGAGCTGTGCAATCTCACAAGGCTAAAGCCTTTCAAGGAGGAAAGACGCCATGTTTCTAGCATGTATGGATGCCATAGTTTCTGGTATATCGGAGAAATCTTGTATATGGATATATGGGAGATTCTTCTCATAGTGGGCTATTTCTTGACATTTGCTTTGGAGCCTTGATTAGCATTATTGCCTTGTTTCTTTCAGAATGCGCTTCCAGATATTTTTGTAGAATATTCACAACAGTATATCAATTAGCCTATTTCATTGAATACTTTATTAGCCTCGTTTTGGACACTACATTTGTACATGTGGAACATGGATTGCACTTTATAAAGTTCCTTATATCTTTGTTGCTCATTGTCTTTTTTCTGCTTGTGAATCTCCTAGTTGGTCTTGTGTGTATTTTGTTTGGATTCCATGATAATTGTCATTTCTTCCTTTTCAAGAAGCATCATTTGTAAGATTATGATGACAGAAGGAACAAGAAGATACAAGTTCTATTTGTGGCTCTTTTTGGTCTGATATGTCGACAACTTGATATCCGTTGTCCTATTAAGTTTTGCGTTTAACTTATTCAATCACTCTAACTGACTCTCACAGTATATGGATTTGAGTTTACTATTGGGTTCTTCTGGAGTTGTATGCATATTTCCAGCCTTTTGGCTCAAATACATGTCCATAATGCCATTTGGAGCCATATGAATTGCACAGAAAGAATATTCATATTAGGTGTACAAAAACTGAATGGATAAAGTGGTGAATAAACAACTTCCTCATTCCAATCGGAAATCATGTTGAACAGGTGTGCAAGTCACACAGAAATGCAATTTTCTCAACAATGTACTTGCAATGCCATTCATGTCAAAAGAAAAATATAGATAAACTTCATATAAAACAAATTGTGTTCAAAACTTTCAAGTTATGAATATCTTCCTTTCACAAGAATATACAAACTAGACTATCTCACAACTACTAGTGCTATTTTTGAATTCAATATTTTAAAAAATGATAGTGCCACAAACGAGCAACTCGCTTCTCCACTTGCTTGTGAGACAATAAAATATATAATTGTTGGCAAAGGATAATCTACATATAAATCCAAGTTGTATTAAACCATGTCAGTATATTTGTACGAATACTAGAAAAAGAGTGAGTGACACAAATGGAACACGAGCACAACAGCTCTACGCTTGATTATAACCACCATTTACTATGAATGAAACATAAAAAAGAAACTGCATTAGTCACCGTAATACCACACCACGGAACAGAACAACAACTGTATCACATGCCACAAACGGAACAAAGATACAAACACAAAACAGCATCATGCTACATATTGAAGTGAATGAAAACCAACCAAAAAAAGAAATTCCAGTCATCTACTTTTGCCTTGTGTTTCCAATCAAGTTGCGTGCAATGGACATCCCATTGTATTGGAGCACAAATGTTGGTAAAAAATGAGTATTTTTCTGCTATCTTTGTTACAAACTCTGATAATGTATCACTGGGCTACCAAAATGTCACCAAATGGTTTCTATTTCCTCAGTGCTATTGCTCTTTTGGAACTGCCACTGTGTCAAGTTGCTTGCGCACATCGCATAGATTCCTAATGCACTAGAAAACTGGAAATAATGATAGCAAACAGACAATCTTTTGGGGTCTCATACTTCAAACATTATTCCTGATTTCTCAGAGAGGGTAAAGCACTTTACAGGTAGGAACAGCATTTCGCTTTGCATGCACAATAAACTGTTTCTTGTACTCTTGTTTACTTTTGTATGGTAACTGCATTGTATAATACTTTATAGGGTATTGCCGAAAAACCGTAGACCCAGATTTGGTAGTCTTCAAGCAAGGCTTGAACTATTTCACACATACACAAAGCTCATTATTCTTACCAGTTGATTGTTGACCAGAGTGGAAAAATATGATGTTTTGGTTATTAACAATGGGTTAAGAATGAAGTTCATGAAAAAGGCCAATAGCTTTCAACTCATGAAATGGTGGTATCACACGAGCAGGATATGCGTGCTGCGTGATGTGTGTAATGATTTGCAAGAATCAAATAGAGATATCTCATTGAGACACTCCTTTTCATCGATGTAACAAAGTAAATGCCACTCTAATCTATCAGTTCCATTGTTATGAGTTCAAAGAAAATGGAGTTGATAGGATACTATGAGAAGCAGCCTCATACAGTGGGAACAGTTGTTGCACGCTGAATATGAAGAACAGAAAGAATAGATTGTTCATCAAGTAGTTTTTGGTTCCAACATTGTTTCTTTTTCTCATTTGTATTTGACTCTCTCAATAATTGAGCCACTGAATTCATGGAGTTTCTCTTAAACTGTGAATGTATATCAACAAATACAATGGTAAAGAATAATGAAAAGTATTGAATATGGATGGAATATTCTAATCAATTCATTGCTCTATGATCATCAACAACTAAACGAAAGATATCTCTCCGGATGGGTATATTGTTCGTTTAGATATCAACGTTTTTTGTTTTCAACAAGAGAACCTTTCAAAATTCCTGGTATAACAGAATGTTTCATCCGAGACAAATCAGAACATTCGAAATAGAGAGAGAGAGAGGATAACATGCTTACTATGAGCTCTCCAAGCCAAGACAATCAATCCTGAATTCACTTGTGGTTTCTCAAAATCACGACAAAACCCAAACTTTGGAAGTCAATCAATCGCATTGAAAGTAGCTCCCAATGCACTCAAGACTATTTCAAGAAAGCAATTCAACAGAGTAGATAAAGAGCCAAGGTTATCAAAGGTGAAACTTTTTGAGTCGTAAAATTCCAGTTTGCATTATCACGTCACTAGAAACATCTTCCAGTGGTCATTCACAGTATAGAAATCTCGTTTCCACAGTTTATTCATTAAAACCATCGGTGTCTTTCAAAAAAAATTATTAGAATTCTTTCGGTCTATCTTTTCAGTCATCGCCAGAATTCGATCTTGCAGTTTGCCTGAAGACAATAATTTGACCGTTACTATGGTCTTTAACGTGTTCGAGGTTACAGTGACTCAACAGCAACACCATTCGCAAGCTCACTCTATTCTAGAACGCATTCTTTCAATGGTTTCGGGCACTAGTTGTTCAGAATCACTTTTCAGTATCAAGGAGCACTGGTATAACGTGCTCAACAAAGTGCATTTTGATAAATTTCCTATAGTATTCGCAGATGCTGCTTATTTGGTTCAGTTCATCGTGCATCAAAAATAAACAACGTGCTTGAAAATGACGTAGGAGTTGTAACTACATAGGCAAAATATCCTGCTGATTCATTGTTGTAATCAATAGTTTCTTTGGGTAGTCTTTACATGGAATCTGGCAGTCGCGAAAGGTATATCGTACACCGAGAAACCAAGAATAAAGAGTCTTCTTAAAGCAGTTGTCATTTCTACTAAAACTGATAGAAATATATTCTACAAAATATTTCCAAGAATCCTTACAAGTATTCCATGAGAGTTCATCATATAAAGTCGTTGAAAGGAACGCTCGCGTTTGGGCAACAATTCAAAAGATTCTATTAAAGCGAAATTTTTCTTATTCCGTAAATATGAAAACAGCGTATTCTGGGGTGACTTAACCAAGTTTCATCTTTGAAATTTGCAGAGAAGTCGTTATAGTGCCATCTACACGCTCTTGTCCTCTCGCAACTTGTATTTTTATAACACCACGATATATAAAGACTCATTCCAATCTTCAGGGACGTCAAAACTATGTGTTTTGGTTACTGGAAAATGGTCCCCGACCATATCGGATTTCTAGTGAAAAAGGCTTGCTTTAGAAGACTTTATAGTTTTCTTCCAAAGAGACAATCCTAGAACTCTAAAGCAAATACTATATTTTAAGCTCTGTCTTGTATCTTTCTTGGAAAACTCTTTTTGTCTCAAGTTTTCCTATGGTTCACGTTTAGCCATCATTTACGTCTCAAGCTTGGGTAATAAACTTGATTTGAAAAAAGCTGATGAAGCAATCCAAAAGTAAAAATATTTTTAAAAAGTCGAAACATTTTAGATACTCTGCGTTGAGACATATTTAAAAAAGATGAAAGGGAAGATTCTAGAACAATTGGAGCACAAGAGTAGTATAGACTTTATATCTCTCAAACTTTCCCACGATTTGAAACCCGTTTCCAACAGAGTCTTTTAGAATTGCTTCAAAATAACCAATTTGTCGTCTTAAAGACCAAATGAGACTGAAATGACTCAAGAAGTCATTGCACACAGAATTTAGCATATTTAGTATTCGTGATATTCAGAACATATTATGGAGTAACATAGTAGTGTAGAATGGCTTAGGAATAACAATAAAGTACCAACTAGCCTTGTCAGAAGGCCGATAATGTATTTCCAAGAGATATTGTATGGATTCCAAAGGATACCAAGCGAAAAGTTCACATGATTCTCAAAAAAAACGCTACAAAAGGAACGATTGAGTTGAGAATCCAGCCTTTATTGCCAACTTAAGAAACTGTTACGGATTCTATCAAGTAAATCTAATCCAAAATCCCAAAAAGTAGGATTATGAGAAACATGAAATGCTCTTTCAAGTCCATTCAATATTTCTTCGTCAATCAGCATTTGGACATCTCTTTCACAAAGAATAACAAGTTCACAATTATCAGGTACTTTGAAAAAATCACCTCCAATAAACATTCCACTGGAATAACAACGACTCTGATTACCCAACTCATTAGAAACATTCAATGATAACTTTGTACTAACGACAATAAGCATACAATGATGATAATCCATTGCACTGGATAAGACTTGATCATAAACAGGATCTAAAAATTTCTTGGCTTCATCTATAATATCTGACCAGCCAATTCCTTCCGACTTCCCACGTCCTTTACA